CGGCATGAACATCGTCATCATCGTCATCATCACTATTAACATCAACACCAACATCGTCGTCATCGTCGTCATCGTCGTCAACATCGTCGTCATCTTCACTATTAACATCAACAACATCATCATCATCGTCGTTATCATCGTCAACATCGTCGTCATCTTCACTATTAACATCAACAACATCATCATCATCGTCGTTATCATCGTCAACATCGTCGTCATCTTCACTATTAACATCAACAACATCATCATCATCGTCGTTATCATCGTCAACATCGTCGTCATCTTCACTATTAACATCAACAACATCATCATCATCGTCGTTATCATTGTCAACATCGTCGTCACTATTAACATCGTCAACGTTAACATCATCATTAACACCCTTAACATCATTAACATCATCATTAACACCCTTAACATCATTAACATCATCATTAACACCCTTAACATCATTAACATCATCGTTGTCTAACTATTAACATCGTCAATATTAACATCATCATCGACATCACCAAAGTCATCGTCAATATTAACATCGTCAACATCATCATCATCGACATCACCAAAGTCATCGTCGATATCAACATCGTCAACATCATCATCGATATTAACATCGTCAACATTAACATCATCATCGATATCAACATCGTCAACATCATCGATATTAACATCGTCAACATCATCATCATCATCGATATTAACATGTAAATATTTTTGTCATCGTCAATATTAACATCACCACCATCGATGTCGTCATCGTCGTCTCCATGGCGACGACTCTGATTGTGACGTCACAGTTGTGCAGGGGGCGGAGCTCTGGGGTGGTGGAGGGGTGAGTGAGTGGGTGGGTGAGTGGGTGGGTGAGCGGGTGGGTGAGTGTGTGGGTGTGTGGGTGAGTGGGTGGGTGAGTGAGTGGGTGAGTGAGTGGGTGGGTGAGTGGATGGGTGGGTGAGTGGGTGAGTGAGTGGGTGAGTGAGTGGGTGGGTGAGTGGGTGAGTGAGTGGGTGGGTGGGTGGGTGAGTGGGTGAGTGGGTGGGTGGGTGAGTGAGTGGGTGAGTGGGTGGGTGAGTGTGTGGGTGAGTGGGTGGGTGAGCGGGTGAGTGAGTGGGTGGGTGAGTGGGTGAGTGAGCGGGTGGGTGAGTGGGTGAGTGGGTGTGTGGGTGAGTGGGTGGGTGAGTGGGTGAGTGGGTGGGTGAGTGGGTGTGTGGGTGGGTGGGTGAGTGGGTGAGTGGGTGGGTGAGTGGGTGGGTGGGTGGGTGAGTGGGTGAGTGGGTGGGTGAGTGGGTGGGTGAGCGGGTGAGCGGGTGAGTGAGTGGGTGGGTGAGTGGGTGAGTGAGTGGGTGGGTGAGTGGGTGTGTGGGTGAGTGGGTGGGTGAGTGGGTGAGTGGGTGGGTGAGTGGGTGGGTGGGTGAGTGGGTGAGTGGGTGGGTGGGTGAGTGGGTGAGTGAGTGGGTGAGTGAGTGGGTGGGTGAGTGGATGGGTGAGTGGGTGAGTGAGTGGGTGAGTGGGGTGGGTGAGTGGGTGGGTGGGTGAGTGTGTGGGTGAGTGGGTGGGTGAGTGGTTGACTGAGTGGGTGGGTGAGTGAGTGTGTGAGTGAGTGGGTGGGTGAGTGGGTGGGTGAATGGGTGGGTGAGTGGGTGGGTGAGTGGGTTTGTGAGTGGGTGGGTGAGTGAGTGGGTGAGTGAGTGGGTGGGTGAGTGGGTGAGTGTGTGAGTGTGTGAGTGAGTGGGTGGGTGAGTGGGTGAGTGAGTGGGTGGGTGAGTGTGTGTGTGGGTGAGTGTGTGGGTGAGTGGATGGGTGAGCGGGTGAGTGGGTGGGTGAGTGAGTGAGTGGGTGGCTGAGTGGGTGAGTGGGTGGGTGAGTGGGTGAGTGGGTGGGTGAGCGTGTGGGTGAGCGTGTGGGTGAGTGGGTGAGCGTGTGGGTGAGTGGGTGGGTGAGCGTGTGGGTGAGCGTGTGGGTGAGTAGGTGAGCGTGTGAGTGAGCGTGTGGGTGAGCATGTGGGTGAGCATGTGGGTGAGTGGATGAGCGTGTGGGTGAGCGTGTGGGTGAGTGGGTGAGCGTGTGGGTGAGTGGGTGAGCGTGTGGGTGAGCGTGTGGGTGAGTAGGTGAGCGTGTGAGTGAGCGTGTGGGTGAGCGAGTGGGCGAGCGAGTGGGCGAGCTATTCGAAGGCCGTCTCCTGACTCCTCCTCACACACCGCGTCACTTTCCGCTTGAACTCCCCGTTGGGGTCATCCCTCCACTCCTTCTGCTCCACACAGACACAGGCAAAGATCCCCCAGGTAGCCTTCAATAGGGCTCAAGGGGCAAGTGCTGTTAGAAGCAAGTAGCAGCACCTACACACACAGACAAAGATCCCCCAGGTAGCCTCTAGCAGGCTGTAGGGGCAAGTGCTGTTAGTAGCGAGTGGCTATTAACAGCACCCTCCAGAACCCCCAGGACCCCCCCAGGACCCCCCAGGACCCCCTCAGGGTACCCCCTCAGGGTACCCCCTCAGGGTACCCCCTCGACTCACGGCAGCGTCCACGTTGGCGGGGGAGTCTCCGTTGGGGTCTGCGAGCATGGAGATGACCGAGATGAGTATGGTCTCCACCGTGTGGATGGGAAGCCATCGCTCGCCCGGCTGCTCGTAGCCGAAGCGATCCTCGCCCGGCTCGTGCAGGATGGAGATGCAGACCTCCCCACTCTTGTCCACTAGTGGGGGGAAGGTGGGGGGAGGTGGGGGGAAGGTGAGGGTGGGGGGGTGAGGGGGTGAGTGAGTAGGTGAGTCAGTGAGTGAGTGGGTGAGTGGTGAGTAGGTGAGTGAGTGAGTGGTTCGTGCAGGATGGAGATGATGGAGATGCAGACCTCCCCACTCTTGTCGACTGGTGGGGGGAAGGTGGGGGGGGTGAGTGAGTGGGGGGGTGAGTGGGTGAGTAGGTGAGTGTGTAGGTGAGTGAGTAGGTGAGTGGATGAGTGGATGAGTGGGTGAGTGGGTCGGTGGGTGGGTGGGTGAGTGGGTGAGTGAGAGGGTGATTGAGTGAGCGGGTGAGAGGGTGGGTGGATGAGTGGGTGAGTGGGTGGGTGGGGGGGTGAGTAGGTGAGTGAGTGGGTGAGTGAGTGGTTCGTGCAGGATGGAGATGCAGACCTCCCCACTCTTGTCGACTGGTGGGGGGAAGGTGGGGGGGTGGGGGGAAGGTGGGGGGGGTGGGGGGGAGGGGGTGAGTGGGTGGGTGAGGGAGTGGGTGAGTGGGTGGGTAGGTGAGTGGGTGGGTGGGTGAGTGGGTGGGTGAGTGGGTGGGTGAGTGAGTAGGTGAGTCAGTGAGTAGGTGAGTGTGTAGGTGAGTGAGTAGGTGAGTGAGTGCATGGGTGAGTGTGTAGGTGAGTGTGTAGGTGAGTGAGTAGGTGAGTAGGTGAGTGAGTGGGTAGTGGTTCGTGCAGGATGGAGATGCAGACCTCCCCACTCTTGTCGACTGGTGGGGGGAAGGTGGGGGGGGTGGGGGGGAAGGTGGGGGGGGTGGGGGGGGAGGGGGTGAGTGGGTGGGTGAGGGAGTGGGTGAGTGGGTGGGTAGGTGAGTGGGTGGGTGAGTGGGTGGGTGAGTGGGTGGGTGAGTGGGTGGGTGAGTGAGTAGGTGAGTCAGTGAGTAGGTGAGTGTGTAGGTGAGTGAGTAGGTGAGTGAGTGCATGGGTGAGTGTGTAGGTGAGTGTGTAGGTGAGTGAGTAGGTGAGTAGGTGAGTGAGTGGGTAGTGGTTCGTGCAGGATGGAGATGCAGACCTCCCCACTCTTGTCGACTGGTGGGGAGGGTGGGGGGAGGTGGGGGGAAGTTGGGGGGGTGAGTGGGTGAGTGAGTGGGTGAGTGAGTGAATGAGTGACGGAGTGGGTGGGGGGGTGAGTGGGTGGGTGAGTGAGTGGTGAGTGGCTCGTGCAGGATGGAGATGCAGACCTCCCCACTCTTGTCGACTGGTGGGGGGAAGGTGGGGGGAAGGTGGGGGGGGGTGGGGGGGGGTGAGTGGGTGAGTGGGGGGTGGGGGGGTGAGTGAGTGAAGGGGTGAGTGGGTGGGTGGGTGAGTGACTGAGTAGGTGGGTGAGTGAGTGGGTGGGTGAGTGAGTGGGTGGGTGGGTGAGTGAGTGGGTGGGTGAGTGAGTGGGTGGGTGAGTGAGTGGGTGGGTGGGTGAGTGAGTGGGGGGGTGAGTGGGTGGGTGAGTGAGTGAGTGGGTGAGTCAGTGAGTAGGTGAGTGAGAGGGTGGGTGAGTGGGTGGGTGAGTGGGTGAATGGGTGAGTGAGCGAGTGGTGAGTGAGTGGTTCGTGCAGGATGGAGATGCAGACCTCCCCACTCTTGTCCACTAGTGGGGGGAAGGTGGGGGGGGTGGGGGGGTGAGTGGGGGGGTGGGGGGGGGTGAGTCAGTGAGTGGGTGGGTGAGTGGGTGGTGAGTGGTTCGTGCAGGATGGAGATGCAGACCTCCCCACTCTTGTCCACTAGTGGGGGGAAGGTGGGGGGGGGTGGGGGGGTGAGTGAGTGGGTGAGTAGGTGAGTGAGTGGGTGAGTGGGTGGGTGAGTGAGTGGGTAGGTGAGTGAGTGGTGAGTGGGTGAGTGGGTGGGTGAGTGAGTGGGTAGGTGAGTGAGTGGTTCGTGCAGGATGGAGATGCAGACCTCCCCACTCTTGTCGACTAGTGGGGAAGGGTGTGGGGGTGAGTGGGAGGGTGAGTGGGTGAGTGGGGGGGTGAGTGGGGGGGTGGGTGAGTGGGTGAGTGGGTGGGTGAGTGGGTGAGTGGGTGGGTGGGTGGGGGGGTGAGTGGGGGGGTGGGTGAGTGGGTGAGTGGGTGGGTGAGTGGGGGGGTGAGTGGGGGGGTGAGTGGGTGGGTGGGGGGGTGAGTGGGGGGGTGGGTGAGTGGGTGGGTGAGTGGGTGGGTGAGTGGGTGAGTGGGTGAGTGGGTGGGTGAGTGGGTGGGTGAGTGGGTGGGTGAGTGGGGGGGTGGGTGAGTGGGTGAGTGGGTGGTGAGTGGGTGAGTGGGTGGGTGAGTGGGTAAGTTGGTGAGTGGGTGGGTGAGTGGGTGGGTGAGTGGGTGGGTGAGTGGGTGGGTGAGTGGGTGAGTGGGTGAGTGGGTGGAGTGGGTGGGTGAGTGGGGGGTGGGTGAGTGGGTGAGTGGGTGGGTGAGTGGGTGAGTGGGTGAGTGGGTGGGTGAGTGGGTGGGTAAGTTGGTGAGTGGGTGAGAGAGTGGATGGGTGGATGGGTGAGTGGGTGGGTGAGTGGGTGGGTGAGTGGTGAGTGGGTGGGTGAGTGGTGAGTAGGTGGGTGAGTGGGTGGGTGGGTGAGTGGGTGGGTGGGTGAGTGGGTGAGTGGGTGAGTGGGTGAGTGAGTGGGTGAGTGGGTGGGTGGGTGAGTGGGTGGGTGAGTGGTGAGTAGGTGGGTGAGTGGGTGGGTGAGCGAGTGAGAAGGTGAGTGAGTAGGTGAGTGAGTCGGTGAGTTAGAGGGTGAGTGAGTGGGTGAGTAGGTGAGTGAGTGAGTAGGTGAGTGGGTGAGTGAGCGAGCGAGTGAGTGAGAAGGTGAGTTATTAGGTGAGTGAGTAGGTGAGTGAGTGGGTGAGTGAGTGGGTGAGTGAGTAGGTGAGTAGGTGAGTGAGTAGGTGAGTGAGTGAGTAGGTGAGCGAGTGGGTGAGTGAGTAGGTGAGCGAGTAGGTGAGCGAGTGGGTGGGTGAGTAGGTGAGTGAGTGAGTAGGTGAGTGAGTGAGTAGGTGAGTGAGTGAGTAGGTGAGTGAGTGGGTGGGTGAGTGAGTAGGTGAGTGAGTAGGTGAGTGAGTAGGTGAGTGAGTAGGTGAGTGAGTAGGTGAGTGGGTGGGTGAGTGAGTGAGAAGGTGAGTTATTAGGTGAGTAGGTGAGTGAGTGAGTAGGTGAGTGGGTGAGTGGGTGAGTGAGTGAGTAGGTGAGTGAGTAGGTGAGCGAGTGAGTGAGTGGGTGAGTGAGTGAGTAGGTGAGTGAGTAGGTGAGTGAGTAGGTGAGTGAGTGGGTGGGTGAGCGAGTGAGTAGGTGAGTGGGTGAGTAGGTGAGTGGTGAGTAGGTGAGCGAGTGGGTGGGTGGGGTGAGCGAGTGGGTGAGTAGGTGAGCGAGTGAGTGAGTAGGTGAGTGAGTAGGTGAGCGAGTGAGCGAGTGAGTAGGTGAGTGAGTGAGTAGGTGAGTGAGTGGGTGAGTGAGCGAGTAGGTGAGTCAGTGAGTAAGTGAGTGAGTGGGTGAGCGAGTGAGTGAGAAGGTGAGTTATTAGGTGAGTGGGTGAGCGAGTGGGTGGGTGAGTGGGTGAGTAGGTGAGTGGGTGAGTGGGTGAGCAGGTGAGTGAGTGAGTCGGTGAGTAGGTGAGCGAGTAAGTAGGTGAGTGATCGAGTGGGTGGGTGAGTGAGTGAGTAGGTGAGTGAGTAGGTGAGTGAGTCGGTGAGTAGGTGAGTGAGTGGGTGAGTGGGTGAGCGAGTGGGTGGGTGAGCGAGTGAGTAGGTGAGTGAGTAGGTGAGTAGGTGAGTGAGTAGGTGAGTGAGTAGGTGAGCGAGTGAGTAGGTGAGTGAGTGAGTAGGTGAGCGAGTGGGTAAGTGAGCGAGTGGGTAGGTGAGTGAGGTAGTAGGTGAGTAGGTGAGTAGGTGAGTGAGTAGGTGAGTGAGTAGGTGCGTGAGCGAGTGAGTGAGTAGGTGAGTGGGTAGGTGAGTGAATAGGTGCGTGAGCGAGTGAGTGGGTGAGTGAGCGAGTGGGTGAGTAGGTGGGGTGAAGAGCTCTTCACCATTTGGGTGCCAGATGTCGGTGATGAACCTCAACTTGGGCGGCCTCAGGGGATAGTCCCTGGGGAAGGTGAGGTGGGCCTTGAACACCCCTCCCTCGCTGTGACACACAGTGACACACACACAGACACACACACACAGTGACACACACACAGTGACACACACACACAGTGACACACACACAGTGACACACACACACACAGTGACACACACACAGTGACACACACAGTGACACACACACACACAGTGACACACACAGTGACACACACACACACAGTGACACACACAGTGACACACACACACAGTGACACACACAGTGACACACACAGTGACACACACAGTGACACACACACACAGTGACACACACAGTGACACACACACACAGTGACACACACACAGTGACACACACACAGTGACACACACAGTGACACACACAGTGACACACACCACAGTGACACACAGTGACACACACAGTGACACACACACACACACAGTGACACACACACACACACAGTGACACACAGTGACACACACAGTGACACACACAGTGACACACACACAGTGACACACACAGTGACACACACACAGTGACACACACAGTGACACACACACACACAGTGACACACACAGTGACACACACACAGTGACACACACAGTGACACACACACAGTGACACACACACACAGTGACACACACACACACACAGTGACACACACACAGTGACACACACAGTGACACACACAGTGACACACACACACAGTGACACACACAGTGACACACACACAGTGACACACACAGTGACACACTGAGGGGATAGTCCCTGGGGAAGGTGAGGTGGGCCTTGAACACCCCTCCCTCGCTGTGACACACACACAGTGACACACAAGATAAAGACAAAGACCCCCAGTATAGCCTTAACAGACTGTAGGGGCAAGTGCTGTTAGCGAGCACCTATGAAGGCCGGCACGGCACACGAGGGGGTGGGTGGCCAGCACCACGCCCGGCCGCCTTTGTCTCCCCAGTGGCGATGTTCACTACACACCGCACCAGGTACTCATTTGAGGCTGGTGAGCGTGGCGGTGAGCGTGGCGGTGACTGGTGAGCGTGGCGGTGACTGGTGAGCGTGGCGGTGAGAGTGGTGGTAAGCGTGGCGGTGAGCGTGGTGGTGACTGGTGAGTGTGGCGGTGAGCGTGGCGGTGAGCGTGGTGAGCGTGGCGGTGAGCGTGGTGAGCGTGGCGGTGAGCGTGGCGGTGAGCGTGGCAGTGACTGGTGAGCATGGTGGTGACTGGTGAGCGTGGCGGTGACTGGTGAGTGTGGTGGTGAGCGTGGCGGTGACGCACTAGATGGTGTCTTGAGACCCGATGATCACCACCTCCCAGTGGTAAATGTCTTCATCCTCAATCAGTCCCGCTGAGAAGCCTTCCACTGGGTTCCGGTTCAGCTCTACACAGACACACACACACACAGACACACACACAGAGACACAAAGAGACACACACAGAGAGACACACACACACAGAGAGACACACACAGAGAGACACACACAGAGAGACACGCACAGATGATGGTGATGACGATGATGGTGATGACGATGGTGGTGATGACGATGGTGATGATGGTGTTGACGATGATGGTTTTGACAATGATGATGGTGGTGATGACGATGATGACGACGATGATGGCGGTGATGACGATGATGATGGTGTTGACGGTGATGGTGTTATAGATGATGGTGTTGACGGTGTTGACGATGATGGTGATGATATTTACAACACCCCCCCTACATTCCACGTTACCATGGCCAAGCCCTGCACATCACCCCACACAAGGAGCGAACTCGGCATGACAAATCTCCCACCGCCCCCACCCCCTGTCGGATAGTCTCCCCTACCGAGCGAGACGCGCCTCAGACGGTAGGGCCAACTAGGCCGCACCCCCCTTACCCCGCTAGGATAGCCTCCCCTACCGAGCGAGACGTGCCTCAGCCGGTAAGACCAACTAGGCCGCACTACCCCCCCCCACGCACCCACCCCGCTAGGATAGCCTCCCCTACCGAGCGAGGCGCGCCTCGGCCGGTAGAGCCAACTAGGCCGCACTACCCCCTCACGCACCCACCCCGCTAGGATAGCCTCCCCTACCGAGCGAGGCGCGCCTCGGCCGGTAGAGCCGACTAGGCCGCACTACCCCACGCACCTACCCCGCTAGGATAGCCTCCCCTACCGAGCGAGACGCGACTCGGCCGGCAGAGCCAACTAGGCCGCACTACCCCCTCACGCACCCACCCCGCTAGGATAGCCTCCCCTACCGAGCGAGGCGCGCCTCGGCCGGCAGAGCCGACTAGGCCGCACTACCCCCCCGCGCACCCACCCCGCTAGGATAGCCTCCCCTACCGAGCGAGGCGCGACTCGGCCGGCAGAGCCGACTAGGCCGCTACCCCCCGCCCTCCGGGGACCCCGTCTTTTTTATCACAAAAAACTCCGAGGCCAGTGGGGGGAGATCGCCTTCTCCTCCTCCTCCTCCTCCTTCTCGTCGTCGTCGTTGTCGTTGTCGTCCTCACCCGCAAGCTGCCGCCTCAGCAGCAGGGCCGACTGCTCGGTCATGGCGCGAAACGTCGGAGTGGAGACGCAGCGGCGGCGGCGAGAGCGAGGATGAAGGAGTGAGGGCCCGGGAGGCCAGTGCGCATGCGCGGTGTGGATGTGGGGTGTGTGTGTGAGGGTGTGTGTGTGTGTCACTGTGTGTGTGTGGTGTGTGTGTCACTGTGTGAGTCACTGTGTGTGTGTGGTGTGTGTGTCACTGTGTGTGTGTCACTGTGTGTGTGGGGTGTGTCACTGTGTGAGTCACTGTGTGTGTGTGGTGTGTGTGTCACTGTGTGAGTCACCGTGTGTGTGTCACTGTGTGTGTGGGGTGTGTCACTGTGTGAGTCACCGTGTGTGTGTCACTGTGTGTGTGTGGTGTGTCACTGTGTGTGTGTCACTGTGTGAGTCACTGTGTGTCACTGTGTGTGTGTGGGGTGTGTGTCACTGTGTGTGTGGGGTGTGTCACTGTGTGAGTCACCGTGTGTGTGTCACTGTGTGTGTGTGGTGTGTCACTGTGTGAGTCACTGTGTGTCACTGTGTGTGTGTGGGGTGTGTGTCACTGTGTGTGTCACTGTGTGTGTGTGGTGTGTGTGTCACTGTGTGAGTCATTGTGTGTGTCACTGTGTCACTTGGTGTGTGTCACTGTGTGAGTCACTGTGTGTCACTGTGTGTGTGTGTGTGGTGTGTCACTGTGTTTGTGTGGGGTGTGCGTCACTGTGTGTGTGGTGTGTCACTGTGTGTGTGTGGGGTGTGCGTCACTGTGTGTGTGGTGTGTCACTATGTGTGGTGTGTGTCACTGTGTGCGTGTGTGTCACTGTCTGTGTGTGTGGAGTGTGTCACTGTGTGTGTCACTGTGTGTGTGTGTCACTGTGTGTGTGTGGTGTGTGTCACTGTGTGTGTGTCACTGTGTGTGTCACTGTGTGTGTGGTGTGTGTGTCACTGTGTGAGTCATTGTGTGTGTCACTGTGTGTGTGTGGGGTGTGCGTCACTGTGTGTGTGGTGTGTCACTGTGTGTGTGGTGTGTCACTGTGTGCGTGTGTCACTGTGTGCGTGTGTGTCACTGTGTGTGTGCGTCACTGTGTGCGTGTGTCACTGTGTGGTGTGTGTCACTGTGTGTGTGTGGTGTGTCACTGTGTGCGTGTGTGTCACTGTGTGGTGTGTGTCACTGTGTGGTGTGTGTGTCACTGTGTGTGAGTGGTGTGTCACTGTGTGCGTGTGTCACTGTGTGGTGTGTGTCACTGTGTGTGTGGTGTGTGTCACTGTGTGTGGTGTCACTGTGTGTGTGGTGTGTGTCACTGTGTGTGGGGTGTGTGTCACTGTGTGGGGTGTGTCACTGTGTGTGTGCGGTGTGTGTGGCGTGTGTGTCACTGTGTACCAGAGGAATTCCTATCTGGTACAGATACAATACAATGGGAGGCTGATCGATGCCCGGGTGCAATCAAGGGATGGCTCCCTATTGGTCAACCACGTTATGTATGCCGATGATCTTGTAATTGCTGCTCATTCAGAAGAGGAGTTGGAGACGCTGCTGCGGAGACTGGAGCGTGCCACTAAGAGGTGGGGCCTTACCATCAGCCCCACCAAAACGAAGCACCTGCCTGGGTATTTTGTACCATCGGACACTCCACCCCCACAACTCCCAATCGGTGATGGGGCAGTAGTGGAGAGTGGAGAGTTTTCCATACCTGGGCAGTGTGCTCATGACCGGCGCCGGTTTAACAGCAGAGGTCTCACTCCGAATCAGTCGAGCGGCAATATCTTTGCATCGGTTGCGTAACACTGTGTGGAAGCTACCTGGTCTGTCACTCCGCACGAAGCTTCGGGTCTTCTCGGCCACAATCATTCCCTCCCTTCTCTACGCTTGCGAAACGTGGACCCCCATAATGGAGCATCTTCGCCGGTTCGAAATATTTCGGCTGGCCTGCCTACGATCCATCCTGGGTTTAACCTGCAGGCTGGATTGTGAGCTCACAAATCCTTGAAAGATCTGGGCAAAGTCCCATCGGTGAGCTCCGGCAGGCAAGGCTGCGTTGGCTGGGCCATGTAGCCCGCATGCCCAGCCACCGCATGCCTAAACAGCTTTTGTTCGGCCGGATCGAGGGGGCTAAACGGGCGCGGCACAGGCTAGAGAAGAGATGGAGTGATGTGGTACAGGAGGACGTGGAGCTGAGTGGACTTGCCGATGACCGGTACCAGCGGTGTCAAGATCGGCCTCTGTGGAGGAGGCTCGTGAAGGACGCTACTGGGAAGTTGGCAGCAGTCGCCCTCCAACAACAACGGAGGGCGGAGGAGCGACGCTCACAACAACGAGCGGAGCGCCGGGTGGCTAAAGCACAGCAAGTTGGCACAGTAGGGGGCACAGGTGGTGCATCAGCCAGTCATCTCGGTCATCTCAGTCAGTCGACCCGTGGTACCTGCTGGGTCTGCCCCATGACCTCCTGCCAGCGGGCGTTCGACACTTCACGTGGCCTCAAGGTGCACATGGCCTGGCACAAGCGTCGTGATGACGTCACCGTCACTTAGTGTCGAATGCTGGTGTGTCAGTGTCACTTTCTGTATTTTTGTTACTGTCTCTGTGGTGAGTCTATAGGTCTCTGTGTGGTGTATCTATGGGTCTCTGTGTGGTGAGTCTGTGGGTCTCTGTGTGGCGAGTCTATGGGTCTCTTTGTGGTGAGTCTGTGGGTCTCTGCGTGGTGAGTCTGTGGGTCTCTGTGTGACGAGTCTGTGGGTCTCTGTGTAGTGAGTCTGTGGGTCTCTGTGTAGTGGGTCTGTGGGTCTCTGTGTGGTGAGTCTGTGGGTCTCTGTGTGGTGTATCTATGGGTCTCTGTGTGGTGAGTCTGTGGGTCTCTGTGTGGTGAGTCTGTGGGTCTCTGTGTGGTGAGTCTGTGGGTCTCTGTGTGGTGAGTCTGTGGGTCTCTGTGTGGTGAGTCTGTGGGTCTCTCTGACTCAGTTTCACCCCACAGATCAGGGGGTACAAAATCAAATTTTTAAAAAACAAAAACACTTTATTGAACATTAAAACGTTCCAAAAACCACCCCACTAGAAGTTACATGAAGTTACCATGAAGCGCAACTCTGAGTGGCACACACACACACAGTGACACACACACACAGTGACACACACACACACACACAGTGACACACACACAGTGACACACACACACACAGTGACACACACACACACAGTGACACACACAGTGACACACACAGTGACACACACACAGTGACACACACAGTGACACACACAGTGACACACATACACACAGTGACACACACAGTGACAACAACAACCGCCATTCGCCACTAAGTGGCGGTGACGTCACCACGACGCACACACACACAGTGACACACACACAGTGACACAAACACAATGACACACACACAGTGACACACATACACACAGTGACACACACACAGTGACAAACACACACACAGTGACAAACACACACACACAGTGACACACACACACAGTGACACACACAGTGACACACACACACAGTGACACACACACACAGTGACACACACACAGTGACACACACACAGTGACACACACAGACACACACACACAGACACACAGTGACACACACACAGTGACACACACACACACACAGTGACACACACACACACACAGTGACACACACACACACACAGTGACACACACACACACACACAGTGACACACAAACACACACAGCGGCAGTGATTCACTCAGAGCCTGGCTGCTGATGAGACACTGAAAGTGGAAACCGGCCCTTGCAACGGCAAGTAGCTCCTCCTCACCACCACCTCCACCTCACCACCACAACCACCTCACCACCTCCTCACCACCACCTCACTCATCATCGTCACCGCCGCTGTCCCCATCGTCGCTGATGATCCCGCGGAGCCCGGCCCAGGCCGACAGGCCTTTCCTGGGCCGCCCTCCTCCTCCTCCTCCCGCTGCTGCCGACTCCTCGTCCGTCGCCGCTGCCGAGTCGTCGTCCGAGGGCAGCGCTCGCAGCTTCGCAGGGGACTGCTCGAGGTAGTCGTGGACATCTTTATCTTCATCATCCTCCTGCCGCTGCTGCTGCTGCGTTGAGGTGGTGGTGGCGGTGGTGGTGGGGGCGTTGTAAAGACTCCAAACGTTGGTGCGCTTGGGGCGGCCTGGGGCGAGACGGGGAATGGGGGATTGTGAACATTTGTAGAGGGTGAGGGTGTGTGTGTGGGTGGGTGAGTGGGTGGATGTGTGTGTGGGTGAGTTGGTGGGTGAGTGGGCGTATGGGTGAGCGGGTGGGTGAGTTGGTGTGTGAATGAGCGTGTGGGTGAGTGAGTGTGTGGGTGAGTGAGTGTGTGGGTGGGTGAGTTGGTGGGTGGGTGAGTTGGTGTGTGGGTGAGTGGGTGGTGGTGGTGGCGGTGGTGGTGGGGGCGTTGTAAAGACTCCAAACGTTGGTGCGCTTGGGGCGGCCTGGGGCGAGACGGGGAATGGGGGATTGTGAACATTTGTAGAGGGTGAGGGTGTGTGGGTGGGTGGGTGAGTGGGTGGGTGGGTGAGTGGGTGAGTGGGTGGGTGGGTGGGTGTGTGGGTGAGTGTGTGGGTGAGTGGGTGGGTGAGCGTGTGGGTGAGTGGGTGGGTGTGTGGGTGAGTGTGTGGGTGAGTGGGTGGGTGGGTGTGTGGGTGAGTGTGTGGGTGAGTGTGTGGGTGGGTGTGTGGGTGAGTGGGTGGGTGGGTGTGTGGGTGAGTGTGTGGGTGAGTGTGTGGGTGAGTGTGTGGGTGAGTGTGTGGGTGGGTGTGTGGGTGAGTGTGTGGGTGGGTGGGTGAGTGTGTGGGTGAGTGTGTGGGTGGGTGTGTGGGTGAGTGTGTGGGTGAGTGTGTGGGTGAGTGTGTGGGTGAGTGTGTGGGTGAGTGGGTGGGTGGGTGTGTGGGTGAGTGTGTGGGTGAGTGGGTGGGTGGGTGTGTGGGTGAGTGTGTGGGTGAGTGAGTGGTGAGTGTGTGAGTGAGTGTGCGAGTGAGTTGGTGAGTGAGTGTGCGAGTGAGTTGATGAGTGAGTGAGTTGGTGAGTGAGTGTGTGAGTGATTGGTGAGTGATTGGTGAGTGATTGGTGAGTGATTGGTGAGTGTACCAGTGGTGACGATGATGTTTCTAGAGTCCAGCTTCGTGAGTGAGTGGGTGAGTGTGTGAGTGAGTGTATGAGTAGTGAGTGTGTGGGTGAGTGGTGTGTGGGTGAGTGGTGAGTAATTGGTGAGTGATTGGTGAGTAATTGGTGAGTGATTGGTGAGTGATTGGTGAGTGGTGAGTAATTGGTGAGTGATTGGTGAGTGATTGGTGAGTGATTGGTGAGTGGTGAGTGATTGGTGAGTGATTGGTGAGTGATTGGTGAGTGATTGGTGAGTGGTGAGTAATTGGTGAGTGATTGGTGAGTAATTGGTGAGTGAGTGGTGAGTGTACCTGTGGTGACGATGATGTTTCTAGAGTCCAGCTTCGTGTGTGTACGAGTGAGTGTGTGGGTGAGTGTGTGGGTGAGTGTGTGGGTGGGTGTGTGGGTGAGTGTGTGGGTGAGTGTGTGGGTGGGTGTGTGGGTGAGTGTGTGGGTGAGTGTGTGGGTGAGTGTGTGGGTGAGTGTGTGGGTGGGTGTGTGGGTGAGTGTGTGGGTGAGTGTGTGGGTGAGTGTGTGGGTGAGTGGGTGGGTGGGTGTGTGGGTGGGTGTGTGGGTGAGTGTGTGGGTGAGTGGGTGGGTGGGTGTGTGGGTGAGTGTGTGGGTGAGTGTGTGGGTGAGTGTGTGGGTGAGTGTGTGGGTGAGTGTGTGGGTGGGTGTGTGAGTGAGTGTGTGGGTGAGTGTGTGGGTGAGTGGGTGGGTGGGTGTGTGGGTGAGTGTGTGGGTGAGTGGGTGGGTGGGTGTGTGGGTGAGTGTGTGGGTGAGTGAGTGGTGAGTGTGTGAGTGAGTGTGCGAGTGAGTTGGTGAGTGAGTGTGCGAGTGAGTTGATGAGTGAGTGAGTTGGTGAGTGAGTGTGTGAGTGATTGGTGAGTGATTGGTGAGTGATTGGTGAGTGATTGGTGAGTGTACCAGTGGTGACGATGATGTTTCTAGAGTCCAGCTTCGTGAGTGAGTGGTGAGTGTGTGGGTGAGTGTGTGGGTGAGTGTGTGGGTGAGTGTGTGGGTGAGTGTGTGGGTGAGTGTGTGGGTGAGTGTGTGGGTGAGTGGTGAGTGTGTGGGTGAGTGTGTGGGTGAGTGTGTGGGTGAGTGTGTGGGTGAGTGTGTGGGTGAGTGTGTGGGTGAGTGTGTGGGTGAGTGTGTGGGTGAGTGTGTGGGTGAGTGTGTGGGTGAGTGTGTGGGTGAGTGTGTGGGTGAGTGAGTGAGTGTGTGAGTGTGTGGGTGAGTGTGTGAGTGTGTGGGTGAGTGTGTGAGTGTGTGAGTGAGTGTGTGGGTGAGTGTGTGGGTGAGTGTGTGAGTGTGTGGGTGAGTGTGTGGGTGAGTGGTGGAGTGTGTGGGTGAGTGTGTGGGTGAGTGTGTGGGTGAGTGTGTGGGTGAGTGTGTGGGTGAGTGTGTGGGTGAGTGTATGGGTGAGTGTGTGGGTGAGTGTGTGGGTGAGTGGTGGGTGGGTGAGTGTGTGGGTGAGTGTGTGGGTGAGTGTGTGGGTGAGTGTGTGGGTGAGTGTGTGGGTGAGTGGTGGGTGAGTGTGTGAGTGAGTGGTGAGTGTACCTGTGGTGACGATAATGTTTCTAGAGTCCAGCTCTGCCACTTCTGCAGCCTCCTCCCTCTTGGCCTTCAACCTCCGACACTTCTCCAGCGTCGGCTTCCCTGTGCCGTGAGGATACTCACCAATCACTCACCAATCACTCACCAATCACTCACTCACCACTCACCAATCACTCACCAATCACTCACCAATCACTCACCACTCACTCACCAATCACTCACCAATCACTCACCACTCACTCACCAATCACTCACCAATCACTCACCAATCACTCACTCACCACTCACCAATCACTCACCAATCACTCACCAATCACTCACTCACCACTCACCAATCACTCACCAATCACTCACCAATTACTCACCAATCACTCACCAATCACTCACTCACCACTCACCAATCACTCACTCACTCACCACTCACCAATCACTCACCAATCACTCACCAATCACTCACTCACCACTCACCAATCACTCACTCACCACTCACCAATCACTCACTCACCACTCACCACAACAACAACAACAACCGTCATTCGCCACTAAGTGGCGGTGATGTCACCACGGTGCCTGTGCCAGGCTAGGTGCACGAGGAGGAGGACACGGGACAGACCCTGCAGGTGCCACGGGTTGACTGCTGTGCCAGGCTAGGTGCATGAGGTCACAGGATAGAACCAGCAGGTGCCACGGGTTGTACTGCTGTGCCAGGCTAGGTGCACGAGGAGGAGGTCACGGGGCAGACCCAGCAGGTGCCACGGGTCGACTGACTGAGATGACCGAGATGACTGGCTGATGCACCACCTGTGCCCCCTACTGTGCCAAGTTGCTGTGCTTTAGCCACCCGGCGCTCCGCTCGTTGTTGTGAGCGTCGCTCCTCCGCCCTCCGTTGTTGCTGGAAGGCGACTGCCTCCAACTGCCCAGCGGCAGCCTCACGGTGCACCTAGCCTGGCACTGCTCAGTAGCGACGTCCTTCCACGAGCCTCCTCCTCCTCCACAGAGGCCGATGTTTTAACACCGCTGGTACCGGCCATCGGCAAGTCCACTCAGCTCCACGTCCACCCAACACCTCCCGCTGGAGCACACGCACAGAAATTCTCTCTCCCCGTGTCTCTCCCCGTGTCCCTCTCTTCGCGTCTCTCTCCCCGCGTCTCTCTCCCCGTATCTCTCTCCCCGTATCTCTCTCCCCGTGTCTCTCCCCGCGTGTCTCTCCCCGCGTGTCTCTCCCCGTGTCTCTCTCCCCGCGTCTCTCTCCCCGCGTCTCTCTCCCGCGTCTCTCTCCCGCGTCTCTCTCCCCGTGTCTCTCCCCCGCGTCTCTCTCCCCGCGTCTCTCTCCCCGCGTGTCTCTCCCCGCGTGTCTCTCCCCGCGTGTCTCTCCCCGTGTCTCTCTCACCGTGTCTCTCTCCCCGTGTCTCTCCCCGTGTCTCTCTCACCGTGTCTCTCTCCCCGTATCTCTCTCCCCGTGTCTCTCTCCCCGCGTGTCTCTCCCCGCGTCTCTCTCCCCGTGTCTCTCCCCGCGTGTCTCTCCCCGTGTCTCTCTCACCGTGTCTCTCTCCCGTGTCTCTCTCACCGTGTCTCTCTCCCCGCGTGTCTCTCTCCCCGCGTGTCTCTCCCCGCGTCTCTCTCCCCGTGTCTCTCCCCGCGTCTCTCTCCCGTGTCTCTCCCCGCGTGTCTCTCCCCGTGTCTCTCTCACCGTGTCTCTCCCTGCGTCTCTCTCCCCGTGTCTCTCTCACCGTGTCTCTCTCCCCGTGTCTCTCTCCCCGCGTGTCTCTCCCCCGCGTGTCTCTCTCTTCCCCGTGTCTCTCTCCACCCGCGGTGTCCTCTCCCCGCGTGTCTCTCCCCTCTCTCCCCGCGTCTCTCTCCCCGCGTGTCCTCCCGCGTGTCTCTCCCCGCGTGTCTCTCCCCGCGTCTCTCTCCCCGTGTCTCTCTCCCCGTGTCTCTCTCCCGTGTCTCTCCCGTGTCTCTCTCCCCGTATCTCTCTCCCCGTGTCTCTCCCCGTGTCTCTCTCCCGCGTGTCTCTCTCCCCGCGTCTCTCTCCCCGTGTCTCTCCCCGCGTGTCTCTCCCCGTGTCTCTCTCCCCGCGTGTCTCTCCCCGCGTCTCTCCCCGCGTCTCTCTCCCGTGTCTCTCTCACCGTGTCTCTCTCCCCGTGTCTCTCTCCCCGCGTGTCTCTCCCCGCGTGTCTCTCCCCGCGTGTCTCTCCCCGTGTCTCTCCCCGCGTCTCTCTCCCCACGTCTCTTCCCCGCGTCTCTCTCCCGCGTCTCTCCCCCCGTGTCTCTTCCCACCTTCTCTCTCCCGCGTCTCTCTCCCCGCGTCTCTCTCCCCGCGTCTCTCTCCCCGCGTCTCTCCGTCTCTCCCCGCGTCTCTCCCCCCGTGTCTCTCCCCGTGTCTCTCTCCCCCCGCGTCTCTCCCCGCGTCTATCCCCGTTTCTCTCCCCGTGTCTCTCCCCATGTCTCTCCCTCTCTCTCCCCGTGTCTCTCCCTCTCTCTCCCCGTGTCTCTCCCTCTCTCTCCCCGTGTCTCTCCCCGTGTCTCTCCCTCTCTCTCCCCGTGTCTCTCCCCGTGTCTCTCCCCGTGTCTCTCTCTCTCTCTCTCCCCGTGTCTCTCCCTTTCTCCCCCCGTGTCTCTCCCCGTGTCTCTCCCCGTGTCTCTCTCTCTCTCTCCCCGTGTCTCTCCCTTTCTCCCCCCGTCTCTCTCCCCGCGTCTCTCTCCCCGCGTCTCTCTCCCCGCGTCTCTCTCCCCGCGTCTCTCTCCCCGCGTCTCTCTCCCCGCGTCTCTCTCCCCGCGTCTCCCCCCCCGTGTCTCTCTCCCCGTGTCTCCCCCCGTGTCTCTCTCCCCCCGCGTCTCTCCCCGCGTCTCTCTCCCCGTGTCTCTCCCCGTTTCTCTCCCTCTCTCTCCCCGTGTCTCTCCCTCTCTCTCCCCGTGTCTCTCCCTCTCTCTCCCCGTGTCTCTCCCCGTGTCTCTCCCCGTATCTCTCCCTCTCTCTCCCCGTGTCTCTCCCCGTGTCTCTCCCCGTGTCTCTCCCTCTCTCTCCCCGTGTCTCTCCCTCTCTCTCCCCGTGTCTCTCCCTGTGTCTCTCCCCGTGTCTCTCCCTCTCTCTCCCCGTGTCTCTCCCTTTCTCCCCGTGTCTCTCCCTCTCTCTCCCCGTGTCTCTCCCTCTCTCTCCCCGTGTCTCTCCCTCTCTCCCCGTGTCTCCCTCTCTCTCCCCGTGTCTCTCTCTCTCTCTCAGTGTCTCTCTCTCCATGTCTCTCTCGCTCTCTCCCCGTGTCTCTCTCTCTCTCCGTGTCTCGCTCTCTCTCCGTGTCTCTCTCTCTCCCCTTGTCTCCCTCTCTCTCCCCGTGTCTCTCCCTCTCTCTCCCTGTCTCCCTCTCTCTCAGTGTCTCTCTCTCCATGTCTCTCTCGCTCTCTCCCCGTGTCTCTCTCTCTCTCCCCGTGTGTCTCTCTCTCTCCCCGTGTCTCTCCCTCTCTCCCCGTGTCTCTCTCCGTACCTTTCATCCCGGCTTGCTGCAGCTCTTCCTGCAGCCTGCGTACGCGTGCCGACCGCGAGTGGCAGTCGCTCAGCAACTTGGCGTAGCGACAGCGCACTCCACACGCAAGCAGGTAGCGCTTCAAGCGCTGCACTGCCGGGTGATCCTCAGCGCTCTGTTAGACACACACACACACAGCACCGATAGAGACACACACACACAGCACTGAGACACACACACAGCACTGAGACACACACACACACAGCACTGAGACACACACACACACAGCACTGATAGACACACACACACACACAGCACCGATAGAGACACACACACACAGCACTGATACACACACACACACACAGCACTGATAGACACACACAGCACTGATACACAACACACACAGCACTGAGACACACACACACACAGCACTGATAGACACAGCACTGAGACATACACACACAGCACTGAGACACACAGACACACACACACACAGCACTGATACACACACACACACAGCACTGAGACACACACACACACAGCACTGATAGACACACACACAGCACTGATACACACACACACAGCACTGATACACACACACACAGCACTGAGACACACACACACACAGCACTGATACACACACACAGCACTGATAGACACACACACAGCACTGATACACACACACAACAACAACCGCCATTCACCACGACGCCTGTGCCAGGCTTGGTGCACGTTAAGGCCACGTGAAGTGTCGAATGCCCGCTGGCAGGAGGTCACGGGGCAGACCCAGGAGGTGCCACGGGTCGACTGACCAAGATGACTGGCTGATGCACCACCTGTGCCCCCTACTGTGCCAACTTGCTGTGCTTTAGCCACCCGGCGCTCCGCTCGTTGTTGTGAGCGTCGCTCCTCCGCCCTCCGTTGTTGTTGGAGGGCGACTGCCTCCAACTGCCCAGTAGCATCCTTCACGAGCCTCCTCCACTGAGGCCGATCTTGACACCGCTGGTACCGGTCATCGGCAAGTCCACTCAGCTCCACGTCCTCCTGTACCACGTCACTCCATCTCTTCTCTAGCCCGTGCCGTGCCCGTTTAGCCCCCTCGATCCGGCCAAACAAAAGCTGTTTAGGCATGTCTGTGTGTGATAGACACACAGACAGACACACACAGACACACACGCGACTTGCCAACCCGCACACCATACCGACCGACCGCTCACCTTCCTTTCCGTTGACTTCTTTGCCGACTTTCCCTTCCGCCTGCCGCCACCGCCATCGCCGCCACCATCGCCGCCACTTCCGCTGGAAGACTTCTTGCGTTTGGCAGCGGTGCTGGATTTTTTGACATCACCCTTGCCACTACCATCACTACCATCACTACCATCACTACCATCATCACTGTCCTTTGTGACGGAAGATTTCTTCCGTTTGATAACGGTGCCGGATTTTTTGACATCACCCTTGCCACTACCATCACCATCACTACCATCGCTACCATCGCTACTATCACTACCATCACTACCATCATCACTGTCCTTTGTGACGGAAGGTTTCTTCCGTTTGGTGGCGGTGCCGGATTTTTTAACATCACCCTTGCCACTACCATCACCATCACTACCATCACTACCATCACCATCACTACCATCATCACTGTCCTTTGTGATGGAAGGTTTCTTCTGTTTGTTAACGGTGCCGGATTTTTTAACATCACCATCACTACCATCACCATCACCACCATCATCGCTGTCCTTTGTGACGGCAGATTTCTTCCGTTGGGAAACGGTGCCGGATTTTTTGACATCAACATCACCATCACTACCATCACCACCATCACCACCATCACCACCATCACCACCATCACTGCCATCACTGCCATCACTAACATCATCGCTCTCCTTTCTGATGGAAGGTTTCTTCTGTTTGTTAACGATGCCGGATTTTTTAATATCACCATCACCACCATCACTACCATCACTACCATCACTACCATCATCACTGTCCTTTCTGATGGAAGGTTTCTTTTGTTTGTTAACGGTGCTGGATTTTTTAACATCACCATCACTACCATCACTACCATCACCATCACCACCATCACTACCATCGCTACCATCACTACCATCACTACCATCATCGCTCTCCTTTGTGATGGAAGGTTTCTTCCGTTTGTTAACGGTGCCGGATTTTTTGACATCACCATCACTATCCTCACTATCACTACCATCACTACCATCACTACCATCATCATCATCTTCATCGTCAGACATTTTCGGTGACCTCTTCCCGGCTGCCTTTGTCTTCCCGGCTGCCTTTGTTTTCACCGGGGCCTTTGTCTTCACCGGGACCTTTGTCTTCAAGGCCGTCTTTGTCTTCCCGCCTGCAGCCGATTGATTTTGTCTGCCGCTGGGTTTCCGTTCAACGCTCGATGAGTCTGCGGGAGGGTTAGAGGGTGAGGGGGGTGGGTGAGTGAGTGAGTGTGTGGGTGAGTGGGTGGGTGAGTGGGTGGGTGAGTGGGTGAGTGGGTGGGTGAGTGGGTGGGTGAGTGAGTGGGTGAGTGGGTGGGTGAGTGAGTGGGTGGGTGAGTGGGTGGGTGAGTGGGTGGGTGGGTGAGTGAGTGAGTGAGTGGGTGAGTGGGTGAGTGGGTAAATGAGTGAGTGGGTGCGTGAATGAATGAGTGGGTGAGTGAGTGGGTGAATGAGTGAGTGAGTGGGTGGGTGGGTGAGTGAGTGAGTGGGTGAGTGGGTGGGTGAGTGAGTGGGTGAGTGAGTGGGTGGATGAGTGGGTGAGTGAGTGAGTGGGTGGGTGAGTGAGTGGGTGAGTGGGTGAGTGAGTGGGTGAGTGGGTGGGTGAGTGAGTGGGTGGGTGAGTGAGTGGGTGAGTGAGTGGTGGGTGGGTGGGTGAGTGAGTGGGTGGGTGAGTGGGTGGGTGAGTGGGTGGGTGAGTGAGTGGGTGAGTGGGTGGGTGAGTGAGTGGGTGAGTGGGTGAGTGAGTGGGTGGTTGAGTGGGTGGGTGAGTGGGTGGGTGAGTGGGTGAGTGAGTGGGTGAGTGAGTGGGTGAGTGAGTGGGTGGTTGAGTGGGTGGGTGAGTGGGTGGGTGAGTGGGTGAGTGAGTGGGTGGGTGAGTGGGTGAGTGGGTGAGTGAGTGGGTGAGTGGGTAAATGAGTGAGTGGGTGGGTGAGTGAATGAGTGGGTGAGTGAGTGGGTGAGTGAGTGGGTGAGTGGGTGAATGAGTGAGTGAGTGGGTGAGTGGGTGGGTGAGAGAGTGAGTGGGCAAGTGAGTGGGTGGGTGGGTGAGTGAGTGGTTGAGTGAGTGGGTGAGTGGGTGGGTGAGGTTCACCAGGTGAGGGTGACTCCGCTCTTCGTCTCTTCACCGGGTGAGTGGGTGACTCACCCGAGACGGAGGAGTCGCCCTCTGAGCCACGACCTCGCTTCCTCACCTGAGAGACAGTCACTCACCACTCACCCACCCACTCACTCACTCACCGACCCACTCACTCACCACTCACCCACCCACCCACCCACTCACCCACCCACTCACCCACGCACTCACCCACCCACTCACCCGCCTACCCGCCCACCCACCCGCTCACCCACTCGCCCACCCGCTCACCCACTCGCCCACCCGCTCACCCACTCGCCCACCCGCTCACCCACTCGCCCACCCGCTTACCCACCCGCTCACCCACCCACCCGCTCACCCACCCACCCACCCACTCACCCACCCACTCACCCACCGACTGACCCACCCACCCGCTCACCCACCTACCCACTCACTCACCCACTCACCCACCCACTCACCCGCCCGCACACCCACTCACTCACCCACCCACTCACTCACCACTCACTCACCACTCACCCACTCACTCACCACCCACTCACTCACCACTCACCCACCCACTCACTCACCCACCCACCCACTCACTCACCCACTCACCCACCCACTCACTCACCCACTCACCCACCCTCACCCACCCACTCACTCACCCACCCACCCACTCACCCACCCACCCACTCACTCACCCACCCACCCACTCACTCACCCACCCACTCACCCACCCACCCACCACCCACCCACTCACCCACCCACCCACTCACCCGCCCGCACACCCACTCACTCACCCACCCACTCACTCACCACTTACCCACTCACTCACCCACCCACTCACCCACTCACCCACTCACTCACCCACTCACCCACCCACCCACTCACCCACTCACTCAAACACTCACTCACTCACCCACCCACTCACTCACCACTCACCCACTCACTCACCCACCCACTCACCCACCCACTCACCCACTCACTCACCCACCCACTCACCCACCCACCCACACACTCACTCACTCACCCACCCACCCACTCACTCACTCACTCACCCACTCACCCGCCCGCACACCCACTCACTCACCCACCCACTCACTCACCACTCACCCACTCACTCACCCACTCACTCACCCACCCACTCACTCACCACTCACCCACTCACCCACCCACTCACCCACCCATTTACCCACCCACTCACCCACCCATTTACCCACCCACTCACCCACCCACCCACTCACCCGCCCGCACACCCACTCACTCACCCACCCACTCACTCACCACTCACACACTCACTCACCACTCACCCACTCACTCACCACTCACCCACTCACTCACCCACCCACCCACTCACCCACCCACCCACCCACTCACCCACCCACCCACTCACCCACCCACCCACTCACCCACCCACTCACCCACCCACCCACCCACCCACTCACCCACCCACTCACCCACTCACCCACTCACTCACTCACCCACCCACCCACTCACCCACCCGCACACCCACCCACTCACCCACCCACTCACCCACCCACTCACTCACCCACCCACTCACTCACACACTCACCCACCCACCCACCCACTCACCACCCACTCACCCACCCCACCCACCCACCCCTCACCCACCCACTCACCCACTCACACCCACCCACTCACCCACCCACTCACCCACCACTCACCCACCCACCCACTCACCCACCCACCCACCCACTCACCCACCCACCCACTCACCCACCCACCCATTCACCCGCCCGCACACCCACTCACCCACCCACCCACTCACCCACCCACTCACCCACCCACTCACCCACCCACCCACTCACCCACCCACTCACCCACCCACCCACCTCACCCACCCACTCATTCACCCGCCCGCACACCCACTCACCCACTCACCCGTATAGTGGGTGAGCAAGTGAGTGGGTGAGCGAGTGGGTGAGTAGCGGGTGAGCGAGTGGGTGAGCGAGTGGGTGAGTAGTGGGTGAGCGAGTGGGTGAGCGAGTGGGTGAGTAGTGGGTGAGCGAGTGGGTGAGCGAGTGGGTGAGCGAGTGGGTGAGTAGCGGGTGAGCGAGTGGGTGAGCGAGTGGGTGAGTAGCGGGTGAGCGAGTGGGCGAGTAGCGAGTGGGTGAGTAGTGGGTGAGCGAGTGGGTGAGCGAGTGGGTGAGTAGCGAGTGGGTGAGTAGCGAGTGGGTGAGCGAGTGGGTGAGTAGCGAGTGGGTGAGTAGTGGGTGAGTAGTGGGTGAGTAGTGGGTGTCTCACTGGTGAGCGAGTGGGTGAGCAACTGGGTGAGTGGGTGAGCGAGTGGGTGAGCGAGTGGGTGATTAGCGGGTGAGCGAGTGGGTGAGTAGTGGGTGAGTAGCGGGTGAGCGAGTGGGTGAGTAGTGGGTGACTCACAGGTGAGCGGCTGGGTGAGTGAGTGGGTGAGTAGTGGGTGAGTAGTGGGTGACTCACAGGTGAGCGGCTGGGTGAGCGAGTGGGTGAGTGAGTGGGTGAGTAGCGGGTGACTCATAGGTGAGCGGCTGGGTGAGTGAGTGGGTGAGTAGTGGGTGAGTAGCGGGTGACTCACAGGTGAGCGGCTGGGTGAGTGAGTGGGTGAGTAGCGGGTGACTCACAGGTGAGCGGCTGGGTGAGCGAGTGGGTGAGTGAGTGGGTGAGTAGTGGGTGACTCACAGGTGAGCGGCTGGGTGAGTGAGTGGGTGAGTAGTGGGTGAGTAGCGGGTGACTCACAGGTGAGCGGCTGGGTGAGTGAGTGGGTGAGTAGTGGGTGAGTAGCGGGTGACTCACAGGTGAGCGGCTGGGTGAGTGAGTGGGTGAGTGAGTGGGTGAGTGAGTGGGTGAGTAGCGGGTGACTCACAGGTGAGCGGCTGGGTGAGTGAGTGGGTGAGTAGTGGGTGAGTAGCGGGTGACTCACAGGTGAGCGGCTGGGTGAGCGAGTGGGTGAGTAGTGGGTGAGTAGCGGGTGACTCACAGGTGAGCGGCTGGGTGAGCGAGTGGGTGAGTAGTGGGTGACTCACAGGTGAGCGGCTGGGTGAGTGAGTGGGTGAGTAGTGGGTGAGTAGTGGGTGAGTAGCGGGTGACTCACAGGTGAGTGGCTGGGTGAGCGAGTGGGTGATTAGCGGGTGAGCGAGTGGGTGAGTAGTGGGTGAGTAGCGGGTGACTCACAGGTGAGCGAGTGGGTGAGTAGTGGGTGAGTAGCGGGTGAGCGAGTGGGCGAGTAGTGGGTGAGGGAGTGGGTGAGTAGTGGGTGAGTAGCGGGTGACTCACAGGTGAGCGGCTGGGTGAGCGAGTGGGTGAGTAGTGGGTGACTCACAGGTGAGCGGCTGGGTGAGTGAGTGGGTGAGTAGTGGGTGAGTAGCGGGTGACTCACAGGTGAGTGGCTGGGTGAGCGAGTGGGTGATTAGCGGGTGAGTGAGTGGGTGAGTAGTGGGTGAGTAGCGGGTGACTCACAGGTGAGTGGCTGGGTGAGCGAGTGGGTGAGTAGTGGGTGAGTGAGTGGGTGAGTAGTGGGTGAGTAGCGGGTGACTCACAGGTGAGCGGCTGGGTGAGTGAGTGGGTGAGTAGTGGGTGAGTAGTGGGTGACTCACAGGTGAGCGGCTGGGTGAGTGAGTGGGTGAGTAGTGGGTGACTCACAGGTGAGCGGCTGGGTGAGTGAGTGGGTGAGTAGTGGGTGAGTAGTGGGTGACTCACAGGTGAGCGGCTGGGTGAGTGAGTGGGTGAGTAGTGGGTGACTCACAGGTGAGCGGCTGGGTGAGTGAGTGGGTGAGTAGTGGGTGAGTAGCGGGTGACTCACAGGTGAGCGGCTGGGTGAGTGAGTGGGTGAGTAGTGGGTGAGTAGTGGGTGACTCACAGGTGAGCGGCTGGGTGAGTGAGTGGGTGAGTAGTGGGTGACTCACAGGTGAGCGGCTGGGTGAGTGAGTGGGTGAGTAGTGGGTGAGTAGTGGGTGACTCACAGGTGAGCGGCTGGGGTGAGTGAGTGGGTGAGTAGTGGGTGACTCACAGAGTGAGCGGCCTGGGTGAGTGAGTGGGTGAGTAGTGGGTGAGTAGTGGGTGACTCACAGGTGAGCGGCTGGGTGAGTGAGTGGGTGAGTAGTGGGTGACTCACAGGTGAGCGGCTGGGTGAGTGAGTGGGTGAGTAGTGGGTGAGTAGCGGGTGACTCACAGGTGAGCGGCTGGGTGAGTGAGTGGGTGAGTAGTGGGTGAGTAGTGGGTGAGTAGTGGGTGACTCACAGGTGAGCGGCTGGGTGAGTGAGTGGGTGAGTAGTGGGTGACTCACAGGTGAGCGGCTGGGTGAGTGAGTGGGTGAGTAGTAGGTGAGTAGTGGGTGACTCACAGGTGAGCGGCTGGGTGATGGGAGTGGGTGAGTAGTGGGTGACTCACAGGTGAGCGGCTGGGTGAGTGAGTGGGTGAGTAGTGGGTGAGTAGTGGGTGACTCACAGGTGAGCGGCTGGGTGAGTGAGTGGGTGAGTAGTGGGTGACTCACAGGTGAGCGGCTGGGTGAGTGAGTGGGTGAGTAGTGGGTGAGTAGCGGGTGACTCACAGGTGAGCGGCTGGGTGAGTGAGTGGGTGAGTAGTGGGTGAGTAGCGGGTGACTCACAGGTGAGCGGCTGGGTGAGTGAGTGGGTGAGTAGTGGGTGAGTAGCGGAGTGACTCACAGGTGAGCGGCTGGGTGAGTGAGTGGGGTGAGTAGTGGGTGAGTAGTGGGTGACTCACAGGTGAGCGGCTGGGTGAGTGAGTGGGTGAGTAGTGGGTGACTCACAAGGTGAGCGGCTGGGTGAGTGAGTGGGTGAGTAGTGGGGGAGTAGTGGGTGACTCACAGGTGAGCGGCTGGGTGAGTGACGTGGGTGAGTAGTGGGTGACTCACAGGTGAGCGGCTGGGTGAGTGAGTGGGTGAGTAGTGGGTGAGTAGTGGGTGACTCACAGGTGAGCGGCTGGGTGAGTGAGTGGATGAGTAGTGGGTGACTCACAGGTGAGCGGCTGGGTGAGTGGGTGAGTAGTGGGTGAGTAGCGGGTGACTCACAGGTGAGCGGCTGGGTGAGCGAGTGGGTGAGTAGTGGGTGAGTAGCGGGTGACTCACAGGTGAGCGGCTGGGTGAGCGAGTGGCTGAGTAGCGGGTGAGTGAGTGGGTGAGTAGTGGGTGACTCACAGGTGAGCGGCTGGGTGAGTGAGTGGGTGAGTGAGTGGGTGAGTAGCGGGTGACTCATAGGTGAGCGGCTGGGTGAGTGAGTGGGTGAGTAGTGGGTGAGTAGCGGGTGACTCACAGGTGAGCGGCTGGGTGAGCGAGTGGGTGAGTAGTGGGTGAGTAGCGGGTGACTCACAGGTGAGCGGCTGGGTGAGCGAGTGGCTGAGTAGCGGGTGAGTGAGTGGGTGAGTAGTGGGTGACTCACAGGTGAGCGGCTGGGTGAGTGGGTGAGTAGTGGGTGAGTAGCGGGTGACTCACAGGTGAGCGGCTGGGTGAGTGAGTGGGTGAGTAGTGGGTGAGTAGCGGGTGACTCACAGGTGAGCGGCTGGGTGAGTGAGTGGGTGAGTAGTGGGTGAGTGAGTGGGTGAGTAGTGGGTGAGTGAGTGGGTGAGTAGTGGGTGAGTAGCGGGTGACTCACAGGTGAGCGGCTGCTCTTGGTCTCACTGTGTCTCTGCATCTGGGCCAGAGGCTCCTCATCAGACGAGCCGGAGGATGAGGCGGAGGCCTAGCGGCACACGGAGGGCGGCACACAGGGGGTGGCGATGTTGGTGATGGTGTTGGTGATGATGTTGGTGATGATGTTGGTGATGATGTTGGTGATGATGTTGGTGATGATGTTGGTGATGTTGGTGATGATGTTGGTGATGTTGGTGTTACTGATGATGTTGGTGATGTTGGTGATGGTGACGATGTTAGTGATGATGATGCTGACGATGTTGGCGATGTTGGTGTTAGTGATGATGTTAGTGATGGTGACGATGGTAGTGATGATGATGGTGACGATGTTGGTGATGATGATGGTGATGATGTTGGTGATGTTGGTGATGTTGGTGTTAGTGATGATGTTAGTGATGGTGACGATGACGATGTTGGTGATGATGATGGTGACAATGGTAGTGGTGATGGTGATGATGGTGATGGTGGTGATGGTGATGGTGGTGATGATGTTGGTGACGATGGTAGTGGTGATGGTGATGATGATGTTAGTGATGATGATGGTGACGATGTTGGTGATGATGATGGTGATGATGTTAGTGATGATGTTGGTGATGATGATGGTGATGATGTTAGTGATGATGATGGTGATGATGTTGGTGATGTTGGTGATGATGATGTTGGTGATGTTGGTGATGTTGGTGTTAGTGATGATGTTAGTGATGGTGTTAGTGATGGTGTTAGTGATGATGGTGTTAGTGATGGTGTTAGTGATGATGGTGTTAGTGATGATGTTAGTGATGGTGTTAGTGATGGTGTTAGTGATGATGGTGTTAGTGATGGTGTTAGTGATGATGGTGTTAGTGATGATGTTAGTGATGATGGTGTTAGTGATGATGTTAGTGATGATGGTGTTAGTGATGATGTTGGTGATGATGTTAGTGATGATGTTAGTGATGATGTTAGTGATGATGGTGTTGGTGATGTTAGTGATGATGATGATGTTAGTGATGGTGTTAGTGATGATGGTGTTAGTGATGATGTTAGTGATGATGGTGTTAGTGATGATGTTGGTGATGATGTTAGTGATGATGTTGGTGATGATGGTGTTAGTGATGGTGTTAGTGATGATGGTGTTAGTGATGGTGTTAGTGATGATGGTGTTAGTGATGTTGATGGTGATGATGTTAGTGATGATAGTGATGATGATGGTGTTGGTGATGGTGATGATGTTAGTGATGATGATGATGATGTTAGTGATGATGATGATGGTACCGTGTATGTGTGCAGGGCCTCCAGCACGAGACGTTTGAAGTCGTTTCGCTCCGTCTCCTTGAGGCTGCTCCTCGACGTGGCGGAGAGAAACGCCTCCCGCAGTTTACGCAGCGTCAACGAGCTGCACACACAGAGACACACACACACAGACACACACACACAGACACACACACAAACACACATAGAGAGATACACACACACACACACAGAGACACACACACACAGACACACACACAGTGACACACACAGTGATACACAGACACACACAGAAAGATACACACACAGACACACCCAGATATATAGAGGCACACACACAGAGATACACACACACACAGACACACACACAACAGAGAGATACACACAGACACACACACACAGAGATACACACACAAACAGATATGATGATGATGAGAGAGACGCAGACCTCCTGTAGACCAGGCGAGGTAGTCAACATCTCATAGCCACCGTGATGATGATGAGAGACACAGACCTCCTGTAGACCAGGCGAGGTAGTCAACATCTCATAGCCACCGTGATGATGAGAGAGACACAGACCTCCTGTAGACCAGGCGAGGTAGTCAACATCTCATAGCCACCGTGATGATGATGATAATGAGAGACACAGACCTCCTGTAGACCAGGCGAGGTAGTCAACATCTCATAGCCACCGTGATGGTGATGAGACACAGACCTCCTGTAGACCAGGCGAGGTAGTCAACACCTACTTAGCCATCTTGTACGAGGGCTCAACGATTAATCGATTTCAAATCGATTTTCAAGAATGACAATCTCTGCCACGTTCCAATTCTTGGGTTCTTTCGGTAAATACAATAACAGATCACGACGTTTCGTTCGCAACAACAACAGAGAATTAGATTGTTGTGGCATTATATCGAATTGTTGTTGTTGCGATCGAAACATCGTGATCGGCTGTTATCGATTAGACCTACGTGACTTTGACCGAAAGGAACTTATACATTGAAGAAACAACGCAGCTTTAGGCGCGTTCGCAAACTACGACGACGCCAACGAACAAAACCCTCAAAAGCGAAACGTTGTTTTTATTTTTAAACAATTAAATAAAATAAAAAATAATTAACGCCTCACAATTCTGCCTCGCCTCCTTACCCGATGTCTGCGCGCCCCTTGAAGTAGTTCGTCAGGAACTGCCGCATCTCCTTCTCGACGGCGCTCATCTTATCACCTCGGCAATACAATCGATTTCGCCAATTTGTAATCGATTAGTCACCGATTAATCGGCGCGCGCTTGCTGAGGGGATGGGGAAATGTTCGCGCCTTTTTTTCTCGCCTCGCGCTCTCCGTGTACGCGCCACCAGCGACGCGCGCCAAAACTGACGTCTTCCGGAAGACATCTACCGTCTTCCGGAAGACCTCTACCGTCTTCCGGAAGACTTCTACCGTCTTCCGGAAGACGGCTGCCGTCTTCCGGAAGACATCTGCCGTCTTCCGGAAGACCGCTGCCGTCTTCCGGAAGACATCTACCGTCTTCCGGAAGACTTCTGCCGTCTTCCGGAAGACATCTACCGTCTTCCGGAAGACCGCTGCCGTCTTCCGGAAGACTTCTGCCGTCTTCCGGAAGACTTCTGCCGTCTTCCGGAAGACCGCTGCCGTCTTCCGGAAGACTTCTGCCGTCTTCCGGAAGACCGCTGTCGTCTTCCGGAAGACATCTACCGTCTTCCGGAAGACCGCTGCCGTCTTCCGGAAGACCTCTGCCGTCTTCCGGAAGACTGCTACCGTCTTCCGGAAGACCGCTGGCGGCTTCCGGAAGACTTCTGCCGTCTTCCGGAAGATATCTTCCGTGGCATTCTGGCTCTGCGTTGCAATCTTCCGGAAGATGTCCATCGCGATCTTCCGGAAGATACGGTTGATGTCTTCCGGAAGATACAGCAGACGTCTTCCGGAAGATACGGCAGATGTCTTCCGGAAGATACGGAAGACGTCTTCCGGAAGATACGGAAGACGTCTTCCGGAAGATACGGCAGACGACTTCCGGAAGATACGGCAGACGTCTTCCGGAAGATACGGAAGATGGTCTTCCGGAAGATACGGAAGACGTCTTCCGGAAGATACGGAAGACGTCTTCCGGAAGATACGGAAGACTTCTTCCGGAAGATACGGAAGACGTCTTCCGGAAGATACGGCAGACATCTTCCGGAAGATACGGAAGACGTCTTCCGGAAGATACGGAAGACGTCTTCCGGAAGATACGACAGACATCTTCCGGAAGATACGGAAGACGTCTTCCGGAAGGTGCGGAAGACGTCTTCCGGAAGATACGGAAGACGTTTTCCGGAAGATACGGAAGACGTCTTCCGGAAGTTACGGAAGACGTTTTCCGGAAGATACGGAAGACGTCTTCCGGAAGATACGGAAGACGTCTTCCGGAAGATACGGAAGACGTCTTCCGGAAGATACGGAAGACGTCTTCCGGAAGATACGGAAGACGTCTTCCGGAAGATACGGAAGACGTCTTCCGGAAGATGCGGAAGACGTCTTCCGGAAGATACGGAAGACGTCTTCCGGAAGAACGGCAGACATCTTCCGGAAGATACGGAAGACGTCTTCCGGAAGATACGGAAGACGTCTTCCGGAAGATACAGTTGACGTCTTCCGGAAGATACGGCAGACGTCTTCCGGAAGATACGGAAGACGTCTTCCGGAAGATACGGCAGACATCTTCCGGAAGATACGGAAGACGTCTTCCGGAAGATACGGAAGACGTCTTCCGGAAGATACGACAGACATCTTCCGGAAGATACGGAAGACGTCTTCCGGAAGGTGCGGAAGACGTCTTCCGGAAGATACGGAAGACGTTTTCCGGAAGATACGGAAGACGTCTTCCGGAAGATACGGAAGACGTTTTCCGGAAGATACGGAAGACGTCTTCCGGAAGATACGGAAGACGTCTTCCGGAAGATACGGAAGACGTCTTCCGGAAGATACGGAAGACGTCTTCCGGAAGATGCGGAAGACGTCTTCCGGAAGATACGGAAGACGTCTTCCGGAAGATACGGAAGACGTCTTCCGGAAGATACGGAAGACGTCTTCCGGAAGATGCGGAAGACGTCTTCCGGAAGATACGGAAGACGTCTTCCGGAAGAACGGCAGACATCTTCCGGAAGATACGGAAGACGTCTTCCGGAAGATACGGAAGACGTCTTCCGGAAGATACAGTTGACGTCTTCCGGAAGATACGGCAGACGTCTTCCGGAAGATACAGTTGACGTCTTCCGGAAGATACGGCAGATGTCTTCCGGAAGATACGGAAGACGTCTTCCGGAAGATACGGAAGACATCTTCCGGAAGATACGGAAGACGTCTTCCGGAAGATGCGGAAGACGTCTTCCGGAAGATACGGAAGACGTCTTCCGGAAGTGACGTCATACGCCTTTTGGCGTCCTCTGGGGCCGTTCATAAATGACGTCGCGCATTTTGACGTGACGTCACATTTCCCACCCCCCTCCCCCCCTAGGTACGTGACGTCATTTATGGCCGGCCCCTAATGCAGACGTGATTGCTTGTACTCTTAGGTTCTTTCGGTAAAGTCAAGTCGGTAAAAAAATAAAAATTATAATTGAAATACAAAAAATATATATAATATAAATTAAATAATATTGATAATTTCTATAAATTTTATTATTTATTTAAAGTAAAGTCGCGTAGGTAAAAATAAATAAGAAATAAAAATAAATATTTGCAATAAATAATGAAAATAAAAGAAATAAAAATAGAAATACAACAATATTTATTACTTCTATCATGTTTATTATTTACTTAAAGTAAAGTCACGTAGGTGAAAATAAATAATAAATTAAAAATACATTATTGACATAAATATTAACATAATAGAAATAATAGAAATAAAATAATGAATGTTTTATTTCTATTATTATTTACTTAAAGTAAAGTCACGGAGGTAAAAATCCTTGCAGTCACGAAAGCTTCAAGTCTAGAAGTATGAATCCAGGCAGGCGCATCTTACAGATGACTAGTCGATGGTCAGAGGGCAGATCAGCTCCACGGTAGGTCCTGGTGTCAAGGACATGGGCTCGCATTCGCTGGTCCGTCACTACGTAGTCCAGCAGATGTTCTTGCTTGGACCCGGCGTGCATCCATGATGTTGTGTGCATGGTCCTGGAGTCAAGGACATGGGCTCGCATCCGCTGGTCCGTCACTATGTAGTCCAGCAGATGTTCTTGCTTGGACCCGGCGTGCATCCATGATGTTGTGTGGATGGTCCTGGTGTCAAGGACATGGGCTCGCATCCGCTGGTCCGTCACTATGTAGTCCAGCAGATGTTCTTGCTTGGACCCGGCATGCATCCATGATGTTGTGTGGATGTGCCGATGCCGGAACAGCGTGTTGGTAATTACAAGCCCATGGGCTGCACAAAAATCTAGCAGCCTCCTGCCGTTGTTATTGAGCTGATCTGGCCCATGCCTTCCAATCACTGCAGACCAGGTGCCAGCATCATGACCAACTCGGGCATTGAAGTCACCCAACAAGATGACTCTGTCCCGAGTGGCCACTTTAGCCAGCACCTGTGACAGGAGGTCATAGAAAGCGTCTGACTCATCGGCTTTGCCTGCATCCCTCCACGGATGTTCGTCTTCGGTGGGGGCATAAGTAACCACGACCACCACATATACACGACTCTATACACTATACAACAACAACCGCCATTCGCCACTAAGTGGCGGTGACGTCACCACGACGCTTGTGCCAGGCCAAGTGCACCTTGAGGCCACGTGAAGTGTCGAACGCCCGCTGGCAGGAGGTCACGGGGCAGACCCAGCAGGTGCCACGGGTCGACTGACTGAGATGATTGGCTATACACTGCTCTACACACATACACTACATTATACACTACACACTACACTACCTTATACACTACACACTACACTACATACCTTAACCTTTGACCAACACGTGGTGAGGGAGTGCACAAACTGAGAGCACGGCTGCTGGTTGAATCACTTTCGTTTATTAAACTGGAATCAGCTTTAATATGAAGCTAAGAAGCAATAAACGTATAAGGTAGAAGCGGGTTACAGTATAATATGCATTGGATGGTGGTGGTGATGGTGGTGATGATGGTGATGGTGGTGGTGATGGTGGTGATGATGGTGATGATGGTGATGATGGTGGTGATGGTGGTGATGATGGTGATGATGGTGATGATGGTGATGATGGTGGTGATGATGGTGATGGTGGTGGTGATGGTGGTGATGATGGTGATGATGGTGGTGATGATGGTGATGATGGTGATGATGGTGGTGATGATGGTGATGATGGTGATGATGGTGATGATGGTGGTGATGATGGTGATGGTGGTGGTGATGGTGGTGATGATGGTGATGATGGTGGTGATAGTGGTGGTGGTGATGGTGGTGATGATGGTGGTGATGGTGGTGATGATGGTGATGATAGTGGTGGTGGTGATGGTGGTGATGGTAGTGGTGATGATAGTGGTGATAATAGTGGTGGTGGTGATAGTGGTAGTGATGATGATAGTGGTGGTGGTGGTGGTGATAGTGGTGGTGATAGTGGTGGTGGTGGTGATGGTGGTGATGGTGATGGGAGTGATGATGATAGTGGTGGGGAAAATGGTGGTGGTGGTGATAGTGGTGGTGGTGGTGATGGTGGTGGTGATGGTGGTGGTGATGATGGTGGTGATGGTGATGATGAGTCTATGAGTCTCTATCTAAGTCTATGGTTCTTGCTCTAATAAGGCAGTGACGGGTCTCTGTGTGGTGAGTCTGTGGGTCTCTGTGTGGTGAGTCTGTGGGTCTCTGTGTGGTGATTCTGTGGGTCTCTGTGTGGTGAGTCTATGGGTCTCTGTGTGGTGAGTCTATGGGTCTCTGTGTGGTGAGTCTGTGGGTCTCTGTGTGGTGAGTCTGTGGGTCTCTGTGTGGTGAGTCTGTGGGTCTCTGTGTGGTGAGTCTGTGGGTCTCTGTGTGGTGAGTCTGTGGGTCTCTGTGTGGTGAGTCAGTGGTGAGTGAGTGGTGTGTTTCTGGTGAGTGAGTGTGGTGAGTGGTGAGTGTGTGGTGAGTGAGTGGTGAGTGAGTGGTGAGTGAGTGAGTGGTGAGCGAGTGTGTGGTGAGTGAGTGGTGAGTGAGTGGTGAGTGGGTGAGTGAGTGGGTGAGTGAGCGAGCGAGTGAGTGGTGAGTCTCAGTGTGGTGAGTGGTGAGCATCTCCTAGGTGAGCGCCTGTCCAGCCTGCTTGGCTTGCGCTGCGCCTGCGCTGAGTGAGTGAGTGGTGAGCGAGCGAGTGGGTGAGTGAGTGAGTGGGTGAGTGAGTGGGTGGGTGAGTGAGTGAGTGGGTGAGTGAGAGTGGTGATTGGTGAGTGG